CTGGAGTTCAGACGTGTGCTCTTCCGATCTATTTCCATAAATAAATTGTAGATTCGAAAGCTAAATAAAGAGCTAAAGAAGTTAATAATTATGAAATGGAATAGAATCTTATAAATTTGACAAAGAACAAAATTATAAAGCGTTATTTTATACTGAATAAGTTAATTACATATGGGATTGATGTTTTCAGAATGGTACTGATAGCAGGAACGTCTTTCAGGTCTGCAGGAATGACTAAGCATATTTATCGGGAAAACGTAAAAGACAGAGGGATTCAGGCATTTTCGAGGCTATTTTGTTCTCGGGCGTGAAAAAACTATTGGACCAAAATAAGTTATGGATGGAAAGAGACCGATCAAAATGGTATGTAGCATATCGCGTATGTAACGTATCTTCTCCCTTTCTCACTTTTTCTCTCTCTCTTTCTCTCTCTCTCTCTTTCTCCCTCTGTCTTCTGATTTTGCAAGTGCAAGCGTTTACGAAGAGCAAAATAGATAAGTCTCACGTATAATTTTCCATTGTTCATTTTAAATTCATATCAGATTATTTTATTATATTTAAATAAGGCATATAATTTCATATAACACCTACAAGAATGTTAAATTTTCATTAAATAATCGTATTTTGTACTACTTGTTGATGTAGGATCCACTGTCACCTGGCCCATGTCTAGATATTAGTGACGACGAGCTTGTTACAATATCGGTGCGAGATTTAAACAGACAATTGAAATTACGTGGATTGTCGAGAGAGGAAATTGTACGTATGAAACAGCGAAGACGCACACTAAAGAACAGAGGATATGCAGCCAGTTGTCGCATAAAGCGTATCGAACAAAAAGATGAATTGGAGTCAGAAAAAACTCAAGAGTATCGCGACATGGAAACTATGCAGGATGACAACAATCGTATGAGAGAGGAGATAGAATCCTGGCATTCAAAATACCAAGCGCTCAAAAAGTTTGCTCAAGAAAAGAAAATTATTATTCCCCCAGATTTAGAAAACATATAAAAAATTATTTATATTTGCTTATTAACATATATATACATATATATACATTTAATAGTAGAATGGTTAGATAAATGTTTCAACGCTGCAGTTGTCTACAAATTTCTTTTTTGGAATTGTAGGAAAGGCTTTTTTTGTACATACATATAGCTTAAAATTAAAATTATGCTGTAGGGAAAATACAATTTTGGTATTTTTTTAAGTTATACAAAATATCATTATATATAAAATATTTCCAAATAAAAAAACGTGACTTTGAGTGCAGTCCACTTAACACTACAAATGCTTTGAAGCATTTGCTTGGCCAACGGAAGGAAAAATTTTACTAATTAATCAAAGAATGCTCTAAAAAAACATTTGTAATATGAAGTGGACTGTAGGCTTAATATGTAAGAGCATATAAAATGTTACAAGACAATTAAGTTATGGGACAAAGGATAGAATAATTCCATTGATTTTTCATGTATCTTCATGTTCAGTACATAATAAAAGTATTAATCTACCAACTACGTGAATATTGATCGAATTTCCTAGCAGCCGATATTTTTGTTTGTCTGTAATATGCTCTGGAAATTGAAAGTCTTCTGGAAAACACATTAATCGACACACCTCTCTAGGCGAGAAAAACCGAAGTTTCAAATCTGACAAAATCTGCATTTGCTTATCCGAATCATTTTCATGATTGGCAACTTCATTATACTTCAATCTGATTGTTTCATCCGTAAATGGACAATATACAGATCCTGTACCTTCTGCATAACGACCATATCCTTTGGTGAAGCAACAAGAACCATTGTTCTCAGATGTTCGTATATCTAATACCCATGCCCTTTTTTGTAATAGTTTAGAAGGTACCAAATATTTTGATTCTTCAGTATTTTCCAAAATATTATCTAATGTGTAACACAAACTGCCAGATTTTGGATTAATCTTGCCTTTCTCCTCTGCTAATGTCAAGTGTTTGCTTTTTGGTAATAATTCAAATAAATCAGGCAGCAAATTATTTTCCAGCGAGGACTGTTTGAAACAAAATTTCAGATTATTCTTTTTCGCCAGTAAATAATATCTATGTCTACTGTTCGGTATACCAAACTGGCATGGACTCAATATTAATTCTCTGTAGACATATCCACAACTTTTGATACAATCCACTAATTTGTCTCTCATTTGAGATATTTCAAAACCTTTAACATTCTCAACCAAAATATATCTTAAATTTTTTAATTCTGGTATCAAGCTCAAAATGTGTAGCAAGGAACAGGTTCTGTTATCAAGTGCATCCTTTTTTAATCCTAATCTAGTGAAAGGCTGACACGGAGGGCTCATAAATATAACGTCCACATTCAATTTGTTTAATTCCTGTGCATTAATAGACTGTATGTTTCGATTCATAAGAGCAGTTTCCGGGAAATTGTGACGGTAAACATCATTTGCGACAGGATTTATATCAACTGCTGCGACGACTTTTGCCGCAATTCCACTCTCTAAAATGATACAAGACAGAGAGTTAATTAATATCGAGTTAACTTCATGTTAATATTTCATGCTTATAGAAATACGCTTCATAATGTACGATTACGTGATAATTCGTGTGATTATGCGACAATTTAAATTTACCATGAAGTGCATAATTCATTCCTCCAATACCACTGTACAGCTCCAACACCTTCATTACTATAACGATTCAAAGCTGTTTATGGAGAAGATAATTATTCAGTTTACCCTCCTTCTTTTCGCTTGGCACCTGCTCCCAGACGGGGGTAAGCCGGCCAGAGTTTAACCTCCTCTGTTGCAATATTATTAAATTATGTTCACTTGACGTGTTTTTGAACATGTGAAAGAATATGGCAGAAAAAAAAACATTGCTTTGTCGCCGTGAAACGAGATATTAATCGTTAAAGTTGACAACTTCAAGTTAAGAAATCTATAAAAATATGCACATTCGTAGACAGCATTTATACGATGCGCTCTCTCTCCTTCTCATCGTCAGTATGAACATAACCTATCTATGTCATACTCTGAACTGCTCTGAACTTTGACACTCTGTTCAGTGAAAAGAATATACATGTAATCCATGCATGTAACATGAGCTGCGCTTTACTTTTCATGACCGGTGTGAATGATCAGCTGTCGGACCAACGATTTCAATGATTTTGAATACGCCATTCAATTGCTAGTCGTTTGTTAATTTTTGCATATGTTTTTATTTTGTTTACATGTTAATTATTTTAGGCAAAAAAATTGAAATTAAAATTTAAACAACATTTCGGTGTTAAAACATTTGCTAGTCGTTTGCTAGATCCGTATATATAAGTATTAATCTTATTTCATCGATAAATTAATTGTCTACTTTATTAATTATTAGTTCTCATTATTTTCAGGCGACTCGATACGCATGCGCTGTTAACCAGAATTAAAGTCACTAGATTATTAAAAGTTATTAATAGCGTTTTCGATTTGTTGATTCGATCCGACTCCGAATCGACGGTCTGTTCTTTTTAGCTATAAAAAAATAGTTAAAATGTACAAGAAACGCTAAAAAGAACAAACTATTTTGACTCGGAATCGGATCGAGTCAACAAATTGAAAACGCTATAAGTTTGGGACAATTTATCGATAAAATATAAGAATATAATACTTGTATATGTGGATCTAGCAAACGTTTTAACACCGAAATATTTATGAAATCATGAAATAAAATTTCCAAATGATGGTTACAGCTGTTGTCTAAATTTTAATTTCAATGTTTTACCTATAAAATAATTAACATGCAAACAAAATAAAAAAACATGCAAAAATGTGCAAACAAATGGTCTGTTCAAAATTATTGAAATCGTTAGTCCGACTTAGAGTCCTAGATTATCAGAGAAGCGCGACCGGCTTATGGCAGTATCGCAAAAGTACTAGAAAATATTAAAAATGGCGTCGAATGGCCAATCATAAGATTGATTTATTCGACAGCCATTTACAATACCGATAAATCAATCTTATGATTGGCC